TGTCACTTTTAACATCACTGCATATTTATTGACTGGCGGCCCCCTCTCTTCTCTTCCTAAGGAAGATTAAAGCATAACGATTTCAGTTTATGGCACATTAGAATACACATTGTCCCTCCAAGCCCGTGCGAAGCGAGATTAATGGGCTGTCAGAAATCTGTCTCTGCCGGCAATGAATTCCAGACATAAGAGTCGCAGGCACGCTGGCTAGGATACAAATTAGCACTGAGCAGTACTTATTAGACAGTGAAGAATTCATACATATTATTTTATTCTTGTGTATTACCAGCCTCCTTACAATTTACCGACGTGTGTACTGCAACACAGCTCAGTGGTTTGTGGTCAAGTCATATATTATTTTTTGTTTTATTTTCTTGCAGTGTACAGGGTTTGTGGCCCAAAGTCCACCAACTTTGTTATTCTAATGACCTGCCAAAAGCACCAAAAATCCCAATTCCAATAGCTTAAGCTGAAGTGAGTGTTTGAGGTTGAAATTATGGATGACTGAGAGGACAAAAGTATTAGCTCTTCTGAAGAGCTGTCTTTTGAATGTAGAGAACAAGACTTTGTAAACAGTCTTTTTAGGATTATATAGGTATGTAAGAGTTAATGTAGGGACCTCAAAGTTTTACAGACAATTCAGGTCTGTTAGGAGTGCCAAGCTACGTGTCCCTTTAAATTTCATAATGAAATCCGCATTGAGCGCCTCGTAGTATACGTCAGCAATACGTTACCTCTTGCTTAAGTGAATTGAGTGTGTCTTGGGATATCTTAAAATTCAAGGTAGTTCACGCATCCACATCATCTAAATAAGTGCGTGCCTTGCTATTATCCCTAAAATGTATCTCCATCCTATTCATTAAAGGGAATCTGTAGTGTTAGGAATATTCATATGTATTCCTAACACTAGTGCCCTGTGGTTTCTCCCATCCATTGCAGCACCCCTAGCAGCACCTTTTATTCACCTATAATACCTTTTATTTACTCACATGATTTCATTGCCGATATCTCTTGGCACTAGGTCAGCCATTCGCCTCTCCTGAGTGGAGACCCAATGCACATGTTTGGCGAGCGCATTACGCTCTCCCCATAGGAAGCATCCCCTATGGAGATTTCACTAACGCATGCACAGCGTGAAGACGCCCTTCGTCATTTAGGTGACCCAGAGTCGGGTGAACTCCCAGAAGTGCCTCTAATGACTGTCTGGTAGACGGCCACAAGAGTCTGTCTTGGTATTGCAATTAAAGGTTGCAGTTTCTCAAAAACCTGCAGTGTTTTACATTGAGGTCTTAGGGAGGCAGGGACACTGCACCCAGACTAATTCAGTGAGATGGTCATTTGGGTGCCTATAATATCTATTTAATATATTCGGTTAGCCAGTTTGAATCCTTTCTCCTCGCCTCTTTCCTTGTGAATGTACTAGAAGTTACTATTTGAAGTTAGCTTTGTTTTGAAATTGGAGTTTAACACTTTTAATTTCCTGTCTGTTTCAAGAGTTTTCCTTTTTTCTATGTGAGTTTCACACCGCGTGTGCATCATAGCAAACCATCACAAGTTTTTTTGTTTTTTTTTTCTTTATATTCCCTCTCCTCTTACAGATAACCTGCAACTGAAGCTTAGCCAGTTCCTTCCCAGACTTTTGGACTGTTCTGCTGAAAAGATTGTGCTTAAGGAGCCACCAAAGATCCGACCTCACTCTCCATACGACCTATGCAGTCGCTTCACAGCCGTTATGGAGTCAATTCAGGGTGCTTCTGCTGTCACAGTGACATAGGATTGGGCATTTCCCCTTTGTATTACAGGCATTGCATTAAAATGCTAAGAAAAGGACAACACCTTGCACAGAACAAATTCACTCTAATATGAAGAGCAGGTTTTTATTAATGCAGGTTTTTGTACACTCAAGCCAGAGACAAACAGGGAACTGCCTTGTCCTGTGTCATCCGCTTTATTTTGAAGTCTTTTGTCTTTTTGCCTTTTTGAACACCACTATTTTGGTACCACTGATCTACCATTATTGTATACCACTTTTTTCTATAGGCAGCTGTGCTAACTGCTGGTTAGTTGTGTGCAGCTCAGGCTTTACTGCTTATTCTTCCAGTATGAGAGACTTGCATCGCATTGCTCTTGTGTGAAAAGGGCTTAGCAGCCATTACCACAGTAACAAAGAAGGTGTGTGGTGTTTTTTTGTTTTTGTGGAGGAATGGTTTTGGAGTCTCACTGCCTAATGTTATGGAACTTGATGCACAAAGCACATGTCTAAAGGATGTATAATTTGAGTTCAGTTTAAGGGTAATTATCGTGACGCGTATATATTTATATGTACACTCACATGACATCTGTATTTAAGCTAAGCGTTAAACATTGCATAATTGGGCATTTTCAGAACCATTCATCTCCAAATTATGACTCCAATGCCTATTAAAACGCCAGATTGTTTACAGTATTTATTTAGGTTTTATGTACGTGTATTAATACACTGTTCATTTTCATAAACCCAGCATATAAAAAGTCGTGCATCATTCTGGAGGGCACAGTAGAAACATCTTCCTCTTGTGTAGATAAAGAGTACTTTTTTGTTTTTTAAATATAAGTAATGGGCTATAAATACTATACATATATCCATATCTCTTGCCAAACAACTGACTGGGTAATGTAGAATTTTTAGCCTGTGACTGATGGGTATTTCTGAACAATCACACAAGCAGCTGTACAATTAGATTCAAAAGGAAAAGAAGGAAGAAAAAGACTAGTATAAGAAGCCAAACACCATTGGGATTTGGCAAGGAGGGCACACTATTTTGGCTTTTTTTTTTTTTTTTTTAATCTGTGAAAACTGGTATCTCGGATACGTTCTGGCATCCTGTTGCCATGGGTAAAAAAAAAGAGTGTGTGTATGTGTACTATAAAGATTAATGCTTATTTATACTTCCATTTCTTATTTTAGAGACATTGGTTTCATTTTATTTCCAAAAAGTAAATGTGAGTCAACGTTACTGTGCTCTGCAAAATGCGCGGATGCCCTTGCCAATGTTGACACCAACTGTGCCAAACAAAACTTTCTACAGCCTATAATGAGCATGTGTGATCTATACCCTTCCTCGTTTAGTTTTAAATACGGGTGGTACCCTTTAGAGTGGTATGAAGAAAGCTACATCTTTAAACCATTGTTACTAAAGTAATTGAACTGTTTTTTTATGTGCAATAAAATATTTATGTTTTTATTTTAATTTGCAGTCTGTCAGCTTGCTTTCAGATGGACTTAATCTAGTGCTTGCCATTTGTGGATTAGTCTTGTTACTTATGTCTATTGGTGTAAAGAACAGGGTAAATGCTATTTAATAGATCATCTCCTTGTTCAAGGGTACCTATAATCCCAAAAATAACAATGGTTATTTGAGAGTATAGGTTACCTTATAGGGTTAGGATCACTGTTCACCCATTTTGCTTGGTAAAATTACATTAACGTTTACTCAGTTTCCCGCACCAGAACTCCTCCATTGCGGTAAACAAAGTGCAGGATTACTTCTTAAACCTGACTTAGGCTCATTTGAATTCCATAGCCAATCACAATGGCAATACGGCTGTTACATACAATGTCATTGGCTTTTAGATGTGAGCTCCTTCCTGGCCAATGTTTTAAAGTATTTTTCAATATGGCCTCTCTGTGCCTTGCTCAAAGTGACACTATGATTCCAGCTTGCTAGGTGCAATCCTTCTTGTCTCAAAGTTTGTGTAATCCGTAATGGTACGAATACCACAAAACAAAACTGCAATTACTGGCTATACTCCCTCTGTTATGAGGACGTGCCAGTCACAAAAAATGGAACGTGTTCTATATATATTTTTCTTTTCTAGTAGTTTTTTCATAATGTATACGTGTTTGGTGCAGTTAAACATTTTATGTGGAATAAAGAAGTGCTACAATTTATGGAGAACTGCCGTCTATTACAGCGGCGATACCATGTAAACTGCTGTTATAGTGCAGGTTTTCTTGCACCTCGCTGCTGCCGGGATAATTGCAATTCTAATACCCGGTAATGAAACTGTGGGAGTAGCTCAGAGAATGCTGCTCTGAACGGTTATTGCCATTTTGTTTCTGTGTATCGAACCAACATTAGCAACATTGAGGACTGTGCAAACTTTGTGGGTGAGACAGATCTATCTGCCTCCCTGCTATTACGAGAATTACACCTTTAACTCTCATAACTTGAACACAGGGCACAGCATAGAGGGTGTTACTGTAAGAAAACATCAAGGGGAATGTGATTTATGAATAATCTACAATGCTTCTGTGGACTCTCTTCATCTGTCTCACTGAAGTGTTTTTACTCTAATCTTACTTGTATTAGGATCTTATTATCTGTAGAAATTGGGTTAACCATTACTGCTTTATTTGGACCAAATGCATGATGAAATGACTAAACCAATCAGGAGTAAGCAGGAGATAGATGTATGTTTAGTTTTTCGAACTTGGTCCCAGTGGTTGTTTAGTTTATTTTGCTACTTTTTGATATTTTGAATTCTAAGCTGGATTCCGATCTGTATACATGGCTTTGTCACTGTAATATTGTTTTAAATACAAAAACATTATTCTATGGCTCACCAAATCATGCATTATCTATTTGCAGAGGTGCAAAAGCGGAAAATGACCAACATTTATACATAAAGGGGTTCAGTACTCTGTAAAGCTTGTATTATGTATTAACTTTGGTCATTTTAGACACTAGCAGCATCACAACTAAACAATGCATCTATTTAAGGAGCAGCTCATCCACAGTAAGTGACTTAAATTGTAAAGCATTTAAATTGTGAGTTGCGTGGAGCAGATATGCAGTGATGCAAGCAAGTTTGCATTATATATTTTCTCTTGAGTTAAAATGGGCTCACGGATATTTGGGTAATCTGTAAAAAGTAGTTGGTTGCAAAACAATGTGGCTTATATGGTGTGACAAAATATCCATGTATTGAATGAGGCACGAATGAAAACACTCTTCCGGAACAGGTAATTAAAATTTCAAAAAAATATTTATTTTTTATCTCCATACCAAAGACTAGAAAATGAATAACCAGAATTAAAGCAGCCAAACGTGTTTAATTTAGTCCTATGAATAGGGTTAACCTGTTCTGAAACATGTTAGATGGTCTTAGCTCTGGCTATTCAATACTTAACGCTAAACAGATAAGGGGAACAAAGATCCTTTTGCTGCCATTTTTTATGTTTTGGGGCTTTTAAATATTTGCTTTTAGAAAGTACAAAAAAATAGAACTTGGAAGGTACCACATTAATATATTTTACCATTATATAAAAGTACAGCATCATAACATTTGTAAACATTTCATTAAATAAAGTAAGAAAGAGCATCACACGTAAAACGGGAGTAATGAACTGCAGCAACAGATTTAGGAGAAGAAAATGGAGTTTGGCATTTAAATGGCTGCATGATGAAATTTAGCTGGCAATATTCCATCTCTGTGTAATAATACAGATGGAGGGGTGTGGATAAACAATTTTGAGCACATCCTGTAAGGGCAACACACGACTTCATTAAATGTTTATTAATATCTCAACTCTAAAAATAGTATGTTTTTATTATTTATTTATTTTGCTTCAAGACTGTTGCAGACATATCAGTATAATGGTTATTAAAACATTATGTGAAATTAACATAGAAATGAACATGTCAATAGTTGCCTGTATTGCTAATGGTTAGTTTTAACCCTACATCGTGATAGTAAATGTTCAATATTTCTCCTTTACAGTTATCTAAAACAAGTTCTTGGTTCTGTGTCTGGAATTGAGTGTGATGTTTCCTTGCAATCAAGAATTGTGGCATCATGAGCCAATTTTTCCGTTCCCCCATGATGCTTGAATGCACTTTAATATGTTAAAATAATTTGGCACGCAGCAAAAGGTTTGACTAGTTTTAGTCAAAGTAGATCTTCTTTCTTTATAGTTTTTCGTCAGTTCTTCTTTGCTGTTTGATACCATTATTTTATTGCTGGTCTATTTCAACAGGAAATTCTTTCCTTGTCCAGTTGTCAGCTGTGTGACAAGATGGCTTTTCTTCTAGCCATAGGCGTATTCACTTGTCCAGTCATTTCCCCAGTTAATCATCCAACAATTAGCAATCCACAGTCATCATCTGCAACATTAGTGCGGCAGTCACCTTTTTCTGCATTACCAATTCCAATAATTCGGAGTTCATCTAATGAAGCTCTCAATGCAGTCAGTCTGTTTAATACAGCAGGATGTTTCTCGGCATTAGTGCTATGGTAATAGCGTTTCCCCTCTTATAGTAATCTCTTAATTCTTTCGCAATGAAAACTGTTTGTTCTACTCAGAGATTCTAATCTGGAATAGTGAAACGCGTGTTTGTCATAAAAACAGGCATTTTCGCTTATATAATCTGTACATTTTCTGCCTGTACAAATTATATAAGAGAAACTAGCAATGTTCATTACAGCAAGGTCATGTTCACTATACTTGTACACAAATGTTTTCAGCTGGGACAAACAAATCAAATGATTCCTCATCTGCTCTCTAACAAATTGATCCGTCTAGGATTTACCTGTGTAATCCTTAAATAAGGCTTCACAGGTAAATTCTGTACTGGTCTGTTTGTTTAGGCGCAGATTAAAAGGCATTTGTTTTGTTCGTCCCAGCTGAAAATAATTTGTGCACGTCTGTTAAAGGACAACTATAGTGCCAGGAAAACATACTCGTTTTCTTGGCACTATAGTGCCCTGAGGGTGCCCCCACCCTCAGGGTCCCCCTCCCGCCTGGCTCTGGGGAGAGGAAGGGGTTAAAACTTATCTTTTTTTCCAGCGCCGGCGGGGAGCTCTCCTCCTCCTCTCCGCCTCCTCTCCTCCCTTTCGGCTGAATGCGCACGCAGGGCAAGAGCTGCGCGCGCATTCAGCCAGTCTCATAGGAAAGCATTCATAATGCTTTCCTGTGGACGCTGGCGTCTTCTCACTGTGATTTTCACAGTGAGAATCACGCAAGCACCTCTAGCGGCTGTCAATGAGACAGCCACTAGAGGATGGAGGCTGGATTAACCCTAACATAAACATAGCAGTTTCTCTGAAACTGCTATGTTTATTAAAAAAAAGGGTTAACCCTGGCTGGACCTGGCACCCAGACCACTTCATTAAGCTGAAGTGGTCTGGGTGCATAGAGTGGTCCTTTAATCATAAGGTATAATGAGGATTAAATACAAACCATTATTTTATGTATTTGTACATATTATCCCTCTGTTCTACCCCATCTGTTCCCATTACCTGATCAGAATACATTTTAGAGTCTTCACCTGACCCTTTTGAACAGATGGAGAAAATTATAACTGACATTGAAGTTTCAAGTTCACTCCTTGTTTCTTCCTATGGAAGACAAAAATTCCAAATTCTGCTCCTCTAATCCTCAAGTGTTAATTGGCTTACAATTTAAACATAGGAGTCTGATTAATTTTTTTTGTAACTAAAAGCCAATTAGATATTTTAAAGTAGAACAATATTGTTTGAGTGGGATTTAGGATTGCAGGCGTCATTAGAGATAGTGGGGATAGGGATCTTAAAGGGACACTAGTGACCATAACAACTAATGTAGTTCTTCTGGTGAGTATAATCATTGCCTTCAGGCATTTTCATGCAAACACTGCCTTTTTCAGTGTTCTGCATGGGTACACTGCATTTTTCTCATAGAGATGCATTGATTCAATGCATCTGCATGAGGAGGTGCTGATTGGTCAAAACGGTGTTTGGCCCTGCCCCTTTATGATTTTAGCCAATATAATGCTTTCCCCATAGGAAAGCATTGGATTGGCTAAAATTCAGCAATTCTGATGTCACCCAGGGGGCGGGGCCAGTGCCAGCGCATCCGCATAGCGCTCAAAATAAGATGTCTTTCAGGCTTTTAAAGGGGGGAGGAGGGGGCAAGCCTTAATGATGGTTTTGCACTATATCATCAGGAATACTTGTTTGTGTTCCTGACCCTATAGTGCTCCTTTAAAATTCCGGGTTGAATTTACCAGGTGGATTGGAACAACCAAATGAAGGTAACTCCTGTTGCAGTTCAGATATGGAGATTAAGCTGATTTTAACAGACAACTGAAATGTAGCCAAATTTTATGTGCAAATCTGTCTTAAATAGCCAAGTTTGCCTTTTATGAATTGCCAAATGGGGTAAAACAGCCAGCTGGTAACAACCAAATGACAGTGTAGTATTTGGCTGGATTTCAGTAGTCATTTGGCAATAAATGGACTGTGTTCTTCATTAAAGTTTAAATCGTAAGGAACTCAAAATGAATTCTTGTATAACTTTATTCATTGTCCAGGGGTCCAATCCAATAGTATGTTCTGTGGAGGTTATTGACTCTGGGGCCAATAGGAAATGAGTAAATAAACCTGTAAAAATAGAGATTCCCGTTTGGCTAAGTCTGTTATGATTTCAGATTTAGAGAAATGTGTCGATTCTGGCCTTAAATTTGGAATTTTTACTTAAGTAAATACTCGTGCAAGGTGCTGTTGGCAAGAGTCTTCAACATGAGAAATTGGATAGTAGTGAGTGCTCTGTATATTTGGAATAAGAATAGTGAATTCTGTAAAGAAAAAAGTGGCAATGTGAGCTGTATTTAAGATTTATGATAGAAAACTAAATAATGCAAAATTTCATAAATTTTTTACATGTACGTTTTTTTGACAATAAAAGTAAAAAAATCAATAAAAAATTGGCTGTTTTTCCCCCCTTCTTTCTTGCTGTCCCGTGTGCAATCTTCTGCTGCCATCTTGTGGTAAATAGTGTAAAAAGCATTTTGGCAAACTACTGGTTTCATCATTCCTAGTTGAGACCAGCATGCATGTTTGATATTATGCTATTTGAAATGGGATTTACACTAAAATTAGAAGTGAACATTAGTTAATTGCTTCCACACCTAAAGAAACATAATACAGGATAAACTTATAATAATTATAAAAAACAGATGCCAAATGGATATTTTTTTATTATATTTTTTTAGTTCTTTATTTTCTTGTGCATTATATTACATATAACAAGATATCTCGCCGTACCACAGAAGCAGTAGCAAGCATATTGAATACACATTGACATAGTAGTTGAGAAATCAGAATAATGCATTATGAGAATAAGCAGGCTAAATATGCTTCAGTATATTGCAATGCCTTGCATCGTGGCACTCTAGCATAACTTTTTACGAAATGAAATTATGAAAAACAAGGAAAAGAAAAACACTGTGCATATGCAACATAATAGAGGTATAGTTAAGAAGTAGGCAGTGTGTAATATGCACGTGGATTAACCCCTTAAGGACACATGACGTGTGACATGTCATGATTCCCTTTTATTTCAGAAGTTTGGTCCTTAAGGGGTTAAAGCTTAGACATGAGTAACTTTAATCACTTGTGGGTTAGTAATATGGTAACTAGGCCTACATGAGGAGAAGATAGTTAAAGGCAAGGCATGCATGTTAAAGAAGTCATTTTGACCTATAATAAGACAATCTTAGCTGGCTAAAAGAGGGGAAGTTCCACCGGGACTGCACCGCATAGGGTAGGAATGGCACAGTGCAATGCGTAATAAAAAAAAATAACAGTTACAGGGAAGCATATTCTACTCATGCAGTTAAACGGCACAAAACTAGAGCAAGATGGTGTTCACCGATACCATAAAGGGCTCAGAGCTTAGGTAATTAGCCCACTGTCATCAGAGAGTCTCCGACTCAGCCAATCCCCAGATTAGGGTAGCCCCTGGGGTACACGGAGAGGCAGGTGGTTTCTAATGTGGTTATGTTGGATCATGCATGAGTGTGTGGTTGTTTACGTGTAGCTGTGTTTGTGCTTGTTTCCCCACAATAGTTCCTTGAGTGGTATGTACCTTTGTCCGGTTGTTGAGGTCTAATGGGTGTAGGTGTGTGGGGTGAGCCTCGTTACAGCTGGGGGTTCATGGAAGCGTGTTTGGTGGGCCTGCCATGTTGTATGTGGTGCATCTCCACGAAGGGGCTTACTGTCCCAAAGTCTGCATGGCTGTCCTGCTGTCGAGATCTTCAGCCGATGCCTTGTGGGGTCGCTGTGGCTTCTTGGTGTGACAGGCTTTGTCTCGTGCTCTGTGTTCCGGGCGTGCAGTGGAGGGGAGCATCAGTGCGGGGTGCAGGTTTGCCTAGTAAGTAGCGTAGATTCATGGCTGTGAGTTGTGCAGATTTGCCCCTCTTGAATCCGATCCATGTCATTGCATTTCGGCGAGGCTGTCTGTGGAGCTGTACCTTGGGGGTCCTTTTGGTTTTAGGGGTTTTGTGCGGACTGTGGCTAGTCTTAGCATGGCTCCAGGTGGACGCTGTTGGGGCGAACCTTTTCTGGTGAGTGTTCGTCTTGAGTGTGGGGTATGGGGTGTTTGTCCCATCCCTTTCTTTGCCTTAACACGTCGGGCCCTGCAGCATGCCGCCAGATAAGGATTCCTTTTGCTGAGATTGCATTAAGGCCTCCAGATTCTCCCAGACTGCCCTGAATATGCGGTCATATCGGAGCTCAGTTTCCCTCCTGACCATGCACGTGGCTGTGGTGTGTGGGCCGGCCGCCATTTTGTGGGCTCCGCTTGTGTACTTTGGGGTAGGCGAAACATGCCATCCAGCTGTATTCCTTTTGCTTGCTTAGGGGGCAGCAGAGTTGCGAAGAGCCTGCGGAGGAGATGGGGCAGCTCAGCTGGGGTCACAGTATCAGAGAGACCTCGGATTCTAATGTGCTTCCATCTACGTTTATCCTCCATGGCTGCTAGTTGGTGGGTCAGTGTAGTGTGAGCCAAGGTAAGTTCTCTCACCTGTGTCTGGAGTTCTGTCATCTGAGCTGCGTGCATTTGGGTAATCTGCTCCACAGTCGTGAGGCGAGCGGCAAACCCTTTGACATCTTCCCTTACTTGGGAGATCTCTGCGGATAGTGTCTGGCGCAGGTCTGAGAGGAGAAAACTGAGTATCTCCGTGGTGACCGGGTGAACTTGTTGTAGAATTATTAGGCCTCTATAAATCTGTAAGGCCCCTTTAAATCCTCTTGCTATACCTCTAAGAGGCCCCATAGTTTTACAAGAAAGCTTTGTCTATAGAACATAGAATTTGCATGTCAGCAAGAAATAGCTTTGATAAAATGTGTATTTACTAAAAGCCTTGAAACCTAACCTTGAGAAACTAACAGTGCCAGGCTACACTCTAAATGGATAGCTGCCAAAAGGCCCCTCCCGTCGAGTGAGCTCCTCATGTTAACAAAATGGCGCTAAAACCTGGAGGAGACAATCATGACGAGGATAGTGACCTAAGATGGTACACCCCGTAGGGAGGGCATTTTACTAACTACTTAGCACCTAAGCCAATTAACAATGTCTATTTGTCTATATCTTGATTTTCTTCAATGATGTAATAATGCCTTTAAAAGGGCCTGCGAGCCTGCTTTTTATTCAGAAGCCATTAAACTTCTCCGAAGTTCTTTCATTAACCTGAACTCTGTGTCTCAGTGTGAATTTACTTCTGCGTGCACGCAACTTTATTATCTTTAATTTGGACAGGAACAGTCATTCAAACTAATTGGTTTGCAGTAAATCATCTACTACAAACTGCTGTCGGCTGTACAGACTTAGCCAGCCCTCGATATCCCAGATTCTCCGAGCTATGCAGGGGGATGTCGTCCGAGCTGTCAGAGTAGTCCTGCGGCGCCATGCGGTCTCCTCAAGAATTCACCAATATCAGCGGATTGCTGAGGCCGATCTGGGTGCGTTTTTTTTTTTTTTAGTTTTTCTCCCCATCAGTGTTGGGGTGCCGCTGGGCTTCTTGTAGTGTAATTAGCAGCTGATTTGTGCAGAATTTAGGTTGTTAGGGGTTTTGATCGTCGGAGAGCCGTAAGTATGCAACTGATCAGGTTGAGCGCTGGCTCCTTCCCCTCATTTTAGGTATTTTTTGCTTACACCAATGAAGAATAATAATTTGTGTTAATTTTTAGCATGTCTGTCAGTCAGCATAGAACTTAGTTTGATTGAATTTGAAATATGGGCAGATTACATTTGAAAGCAATCCATTTTTTTCATTGGTCATTATTTTACAATTTGCCGTCATCACAATATGGTTAGTAAAGACCTCATGCAGGTATGAAATAACCTACACATTTATTCTTCGTATCTCTGAAGACCTGCAATCTTTATCGGAGTGGTTCATTCCATATTCACATAGTATCCTTAAAGAACCATATGCAACACTATAGCTGCATAAATAGTCAGTTGTCCTTAAATAAATCTTCAAGCACCATAACCACTACAACTTGTTGCACACGCCACCCACACCTCCCAATGTAAGTAGTCAAAATGTTTGCTAATCATTTGATTTCTTGCCTGGTGATCTGTCAGGTACTGCTCCGAGCCTCTCTGCAGCCAGAAGCTCCCTGCTATGAGCAAAGCCATTTTGAGGTTATTGAGTTAGATTTCCCAGCTTGGAGAAATGTTTCAAAGCAGGGCCAATCACATCAGATAGGGGAAGGAGCAAAACAAGACTGAATGGTAGGTGTTAAAAGTTAGTGTACTGTTGTGCATCCAAGTGCTAGTCATAGTAAAGCATTGAATTTAGTGCATTTCTATGGGCTGCAACATCATGTGACAGTTTCACTTAGTCAGTGCAAGCGGCTCTTGTGGCTGTCAAGAAGCCAGTCACTAAAGTTATGTTTAACCCTTTCTGCAAAAGTATTATTTTTCCATGCCGGGGTAAAATAACACCTGCACTCAGATGTAAATAAATGTAAGAATCCAAAATGCTTTATTTAAATATATTTACAATGGTTCTGTTTCTCCTCCATGCAATTTGTGCACTTACTGTAACAGGTTTAAACTGGATTGTTATTAGTTGCCAAATCTTTTAATATACTTTTAAAAGAAAAAACATAATTGTATGGGGGATTGAGGCGGCAAACACGTTTTATGAATGATTTTATAAGTTTTATTCAATTTCACAGGAAATAGTTTCTGTATAATGTATTGCTTTATTTTGGATAGTACAACGAAAACCACATGTATGCAATATGTATCTGCTGTCCATGTTCCAAAACAAATGAAACCAAAAAAATATTTGAAGGAACATTCCTGGGCATCAACCAATTCCTTTTCAAGTGGTTGATGCCGAAATGTCCTGGCCTGATGCCTCATTCCACTACTAAACAGTTTACTTATGGTGTAATGATGAAAAACAGTTGTCTGCTGCTGGTGGAACCTACCCACCAGTAATGCTATGGATAACGGTTCCTCACTAATCAGAACAGTGATGGCTAAGAACATCACATGAACGTACTCGGCATCTTTCAAACTCTTCAAGGACTTGCCTATTGTGGGGTTTTTTTCTTCATAACTTCTGTTACATTTGCCTCAGACACTATAATGGATCTTGTTTAAAATAAATGACTAATCTAAATGAAGTGGTCTGGTCCTCCTGACGAGGCCCTACGGATGGTGGGGGATGCTGGTGCATTGGTAAACCATCAGCAAATGCTCTAGGACACTTTACTTAAAATATATGAAGAGGTTATAACACTCCATGTGTTACTTTGTAGTGAAATTTTGGCAAAAAAATGTTGATCTGAAAAAAAAAAACTTTAGCGAACAAGCCCCTAAGATCTATAAATGTTTACACTTGATCCAATGAGAATTGTCTCCGGAATCCTTTGCACATTACATACACCATGATGCCTTTCAGCTTTGAGTCTCTTGTGTTACTGAAATCATCTGGTATATGTAATCATACAAGCCACAGTTGAAATGGATTTGCTTGATGACTTGTACAAACGTTTTTATGAGCAAATGTCTTCATGTCAGCGCTGTTCATGGAACCATGAGAGCGAAGTGGTTGTGTTTCTGTATTTGATGACACATTGAGTATCCATCACAGTAGCCAATATTGCTGTGAAGGGTCTTGTCGGAAGTCTGTAATGAATAGACTTGCCTCTCTTTGCTAAATACTACAAAGGGCAAGTGACATTTGGATTCTAAAAATGTTAGAATGTTATCATTCTTTATGCAAAGATGCTTTAAATTCTCATGATTCTACCCAGGTCATGATTGTAGAGTTTATTCAATTGTTCTTGAATTCATAGTCCTTTGATAAGGGTCTGATTCTTAGGAGTGTCTTTTAAACATTTGATGAGCTAGGATGCATGCATACTTCATGTTTTTTTTTGTTGTTTTTTTTTTGGGATGGACAGGATTTCGTGCAGGTTTCAAAGTGTCCCTCTTCACTTCAAACTTATGGTTGTGTATCTCAGAGCTACATAGTATTAACACACTTGCTAATGAGTATTTAAATAGGTATTTTATTAATAAGGTACTATGAAACAAGACAAAGGTTTTGAGAGTGGAGGACTAGGTAGTGGCAAATTCATTTTAAAATGAAAAGTAGGGCAGAAGCCAGTTATTAAAGGAATGTTCTCTTGGTCCTTGATTTCGAGGGGTGTTACACATATTGGTGGCAGAGAGCATGCAAGTGTCCTGGCCCTACTAGCACTGATACTGGGACTCCTTTTAGTTAGAGGCTTGGGGGGCCCTTAGTCCACTATGTATTACATTTCAAGCCAAGAAGTGGAAGAAAGGTTAAAAGCCACTCATATTTTCCCTAAGTGGAG